TTTATTTATTTAGAAAATTTCTATGCCACCCCATTCGCCGAAGCTTTGGGGCGGCTCACATAGCAATTGCCCAGAAGCTTTAATATTCAAAAAGGAAGCCAGGACACATTACAAGCCAAACAAATAAATGTGAGGTGAACATACATACACACACTCTTTCAGAGACAACATCTGAGTGTACATTTGTTGGGGAGGAGACAAACTCCAGATCTTCTTCACACAGATGTGATCTTATTATGAATAACATCATTAAATGGCAGCAAAAGCTCAACCCAAGCATCTGTGAAATCTACTACAATCAGTTCATCTAGGTCAAACATCATCTACTGAAACAATCTTCACAGCATGGAGAACCTGAAATTCAAACATTGTCCCTGCTGTTGTCTTGAGTTGTGTGCCTAGCTTGGCTACAACACTTCTTGCGTCTCCCCTTTGGCCAGATTCCCTATTTCTTCCCCGTTACCTCATGGAGCTTCATTTAACAGCTGCTGAATCATCATCAAGCTGTTGGTACTGCAGGATGACTGAACATTGCTTTCAAAATATTTAGCAAGCATAATTGGGGTATGGGATTACACTGTTACATGTACAAGTGCTCTGAGACTACCAGCACTTTCTTGGCCAGACAAGATTTTCGCTGGCCTGCATTCTCTGCAGACCTCACATTTTAAAGTTCCAATTTCCAGTTCTAAAATCATAAAGGCAAACAAACAAGAAGTCCAAACAATCTTGCAACTCCAATCTCTTTGTCTGGTCTCTTTAATATCATCTCTTTATGAAGCTAAAAGTAAAGGGAGAAGTCCATTTTTATGCACCCCATTCTTTTTTTCTTGGTATTAAAGAGTATTAATAGGTTTAAGGTTAGGGTTAGGGAAAGAAAAGTTAAATCTGTGAGCTGATTTGATTAAAAAAAATACTTATGTGATCAGCTAAGGAATGTGAGCATGAGAGGAGGCACCACCCTTCTAGGGTGGTTTGATTTTACATGGAAGCCTGTGAACTAACATCTTAATTTAGCTAAACATGTGCATCTGACATAAGAGAAGATGCCAAAACCATCAAAATCAAAGTGTTGCATATGAAACTGGCAGTCCTGTTAACATGCCTATGTCTTCTACAATACCACTTGTGCATGTGTATCCATACATCATCATACTGTTAAAACACTTTAATTGGGTCTCCTGTTGAGTATATAAAGATATTACAAACAACAATTGTTGTATATACAGGACTGTACATAATATATAAAAGTTTACTGAAAAGAAATGCTTTGTTTGTGAAAATAAAACCACCCTACAATTTTTATTTCAGAAATGAGCAATACTTAATCTTTCATTTCTAATTTTATACGAAATGTCACAATTTGTTGATTGTATCTCTCTTTTGCAAAACAACTGTTTATTTTAAATTTTAAACCTTATACGCAGCTACTTATACACTGAATAGTGCCACTATTGTAAAGTGGGGCTACAGTCCTATACATTCAGCAGGACGTGTATACAATAAATAAGCATGTACAGGATTGCACTGTAAATGTATCAAGTACAATACCTCAGTAAATGAGATCAAGTACTCAGACAACATACACGCACCTGTCATACCTACCCAATCCATTTATATCTAGGATGTTGCCACTGCCAGACAACCGCATAGTAACTTCAAAAGCAAGAAAAAAGCTCTGAAAAAAAGGATAAAGCCACCAAAAGTTTTCATCTTTAGTACGCCGTGTTTCTTATCTTTTACTTTTTAAATGTTTAACTGGGATGTCTTCATTAGTAACTCCTCTGTGGAAAGTTAATCCCTTTTAGCTACTTAGAGCTTAGCACAGCTTCCATTCCCCATGCATGCCAATATGTTCCACAGATGATACAGTAGCTGCCAGTATATGATTTTTATTATTAAATCTATTTGTCTATAAATAAGTAGTGCAAAATTAGGTTTAAATGGAAGTTCAACCTCTTCAAAAACTTTACCAATTACCCAGAGTGAATCATAAAAGTATTTGGTTAGATACTAGATTAGCAGAAACATAGTTTGGATAAAATATTGTGCTGGTATTGTAACACATAAGGCACTAATATATGTCTAGTCAACTTCCAGAATAATAAGAGGCCAAGATTGGGAGGCCAAAAAGGCCATAGAGTCCACAAAACACAATTAGAACTGAAAATACACTGACCCAGAGAATTACAGAACAACAGAGTTGGAAATGGCCAAGAGGGCCCAACCCCCTGATCAATGCAGAAGTCCAAGTTAAACCATCCTTTTCAGATGGTTGTTCAGTTCATCTTGAATTCCTCTAGTACGGGAGAGCCCACATAGATAAATGATTCCATCATGGTACTGCTCTAACATCAGGAGGTTGTTTCTGATGTTTAGCCAGCACCTGGTTTCCTGTGACTTAAAACACTATTCCATGTTCTGCACTATGGAATGCTCAAAAAGAGATCCTGGCCTTCCTCTTTGTGACAGCCATTCAAGTACTTGTAGAGTGGTATCAAATCTCCTCTCAGTCTTCTCTTCTCTCAAACATGACCAGTGCTTTCAATAACTCCTCATATCTCTCTGGGACTTGGTTTCCAGTCCCAGATCATCCACTGAGTTCAATAAGATTTATTCCTAGGTAAGTATGTATTGGACTGAAGCATTGCAGGGCAATCCTATACATGTTTACTCAGAAAGTATTTCCCATTGAATTCAGTGGGACTTATTAGCAAATAAAAGTAACTATGTATATAGCCTAAAGCTGCTTGGGACTGCAGTGTCAACAAGGAATCAAGCATATTTTTTTTCCACCATAGCACCTCACCTTTAGGTTAATTTACCAACAAAACAAAACCCATTTATATATATTTACAGCTTGCCATGTGCTTGTCCTTTCTCTTTTTTCCTTTTATCAAACTCAAGCCAAACCCTTTTTGAAGTAATGTTATTGAAATTTAACAGATTGTGCAACTCTAAATAGCCTTCTACTTCGATAAAGAAGAGGCATCTTCCCATATAGACTTGAATCCAAAACCATCCCTCTGTCTCTTTCCCTAAAGCTTCTTGACTCTACCCTTACTGGGACATTCATTAACTATTGAAACTTGATTTCTACCCTATTCTTCCATATTAGTATACAAACTAGTAAAAAGAACCAGTGCTTTATGAAAGTTCAGCAAAACATTCTGTCTTTGCCGTTTGGCATAAAAGAAAGGCATAATTTCAAAAAAATGTAATATTAATCCCTATTGTTTGTATCCTAGTACTTTAAACAATGTGAGCCAAAAAAAGGGTCAAAATACTAACAAAAGTAATCATAATAAGCATTTCCTCCTGTACTCATTTTTTGGCCATTATGTTCTTCAGGAAAGGACCTGTTGTTTATGCCATGGCTTATAGTTTTCTACAGTTGGCAAGGAAAGGGAGACAGGCCTTCTTTGGAGTAGCACCCATCTTGTGGAATGAGCTCCACTCTGAAAGATGTCAGGACTCTATACCAGAAAATTTATTGATGTTTTTTGAAAAGATCTTCCTGTTTGGCTTTGTCTACCACTCACAAGCTGTCTTTCTATCAACAATTGGGTGTGTGTGTGTGTTTCATTTATTTTTTGTTTTGTTTCTTTTGAATCTTTTGTAAACAACTTTTGAATTTATGGCAAATGAAGGGTGGTATATAAATATTGCCAATGAATAAATAATTGTTTGTATGAAGTTATCAAGGCATACCAAATAGTAGTTCCCCAAAAGTTAGCCTGAACAAACTTGGGATTTGTTTTTGGGTTTGGGTTTGGGTTTGTTTTGATTTGTTTTTTTTGGTCACTCTCTCTAAGAAGCTCAATGCCAGTTGCCGGTACAGATGATGGAATAAGACATCCAGGTTTTGATAACATAACAGCCTATCATGGGTACAGCAATCCCTCCGGAAACCCTTGAGTTGTCAGGGTGGCTCTTTCTCCTCCTTTTTCTGCAGGAAAAGGCCCCAATCTGTAAATACAAAACCCAGCATACCTTGTCACCTGTGATGGGTTGTATTGACAGAGAAACCCAATCACTATTTAAGTCTGACTTGGTATAAAAATTACTGCCATAATCTTTCCAAGGTTATATGAGATGCACTTTGGTGCCAAAATGCAGTAAAAAATATAGATGTAAGTAGACTTACGCAGCCAGCTCCCCACATGAATCACTGGGGTAGAAGTTTGGCAGGTCTTGTGTCAAAATGATTGGGTAACTGGAAATAATGTCCTCAGCACAAATAGGATGTGCCAAATAAAGGGGCTCATTACTTACAAGTTTTCAGTGATCATTGTGTGTTATGCATATTTATCTACATAAACTGTGATTTGTGCATGGCTATCTGACAAGGTATGCTTCTATGAAAATTCAACACCAATAGAAAGATACCAGTTAGTCAAAATACAAGCTCCAGCTTGAAATGGGAAAATAGCCTATTAACTTAGTTACAACTCATAGATTCAGAATATTGGGGGGGGGGGGGGGAAAACTCTACTCTTTTGTAAGCCAGCTAACAGGTGAATCTAATAAAGAATGCAATCTATTTCCAGAAAAAAAAATGCTTTTGTCTGTTGGCTTTTTGTTTTGAAAAAGTGATGACCAGGGAAGCAACAGAGTGCCCAGCATTAACTCCTGGGACAGTACACTATCTTCCTTCTAACATTAATCCTAATCCTGAATGTTGCACTAATCTGAAGCAGTGTCTCTACTATACCTTGAATCCCCCCTCAAAAAAATTAAATCACTGCAGCATTAAGTTTGCTGCTACTAAGAAATGATAAATGGCTGTACTTCTTTGCATTTTAATGAACATTTGAGCTTCACCAAAGTAGAATACAAAGATCTAAGTATCTTTAATCATCTATTTTAATAATAAAACAAATTAAATTGGAATTGAATTGGTAGCTTGCTTTAAACACCTTTAGCATTATTTCTAATGTGTGCAGAACAGATCGTCAATACAGACAAAATAAGCTTTTCTTCATGGACCTGCCAATGACCTTCACCCTGACCTGAAGAGAGCATCTTCCTCAATAATAAGCAATAGTTTCAGTGCCAGCTTGGTCCTAAGAGAATGTCAATTATGCCAAGTTTGCGAAAACAGATGTATGATGATTTTTGCAATATAGACTACTTTACACTAGGGATGAAGCTAAACCCATTCATCTCAATTTACTTAGGACCTAAGGCTTAATTTGAACTGTGCCCTTCAAGGTGAAAGGCCAGTTCTTAATCCAATCATCTCCCCATGTGCATTATTTGTAATAAACACAAGCCTCTCTCTTCTGCATACAAAATATTTTCTCCTTATAAAGCATAGATTTTTTCCTGTTATGAAGCTAGACTTCACAGCAATAATTTATATTGTAAAATAAAGGTTATATCTACTGTTTTTTTTATGCAATAAGAATAGGCTATCATTGGAATAGCAACTCCTAATCAATATTATGCATGATGACAATTGACTAAAATTCCTCAAGACAGGCATCTACAGCTTGTTTACAAATAGTTTAATAATAATTGGCTTCACTGGATTAAAAAAGCTTAGAGGTTTATAGAGTCTCATGGATTCACAAGCAGAAATGCAATATAAAATGCTCAAGGGTAAGGCTATCTGAATGAAAGAGAAGGATTAACGCAGGATTAGACGATTACGAAGATGCTTTTCCTGCAAACTTCAAAATAATTCTGAGAAACTTGAACATTCAAGGGAAAAGAAATAAATAACACTGGAACAGCTTCAGTCCAAGAGCAATAGCATATCTTCCCATTCAGTTATCTATTTAGGGCTGACTACTTAAATTGCAAAATAATTTGTATTTTACTAGAGAAAGTAAGTATGCAATGCATGAAGGAATAGGTCAGAATATTACCTATCCCACCAAGCACATCTCCCAGTCTTAATAGAGCCAGTTCTTCACACAGAGGTTCTTTCAGGGTAACAAGTGATTTGCCATGGTTCTCATCCTTGTGGACAAAAATTATGTGCTGATTTGATCTGAGTAGGAAAAATAGGGCTGAGTAACAGCTGCCATATTTGCCATTACCAAAGGTGTTGAGTCCCCACTGTGTTACCACTGGATCCTTCATAAATTTTGGAACCAACACTAGAACAGGACTATATTTATGATGCAAAATTAGGGACAGTGACTGAAGATTATAATCTACTGCAGGTGTACTTACTTTGTGGAATACTTTCCAAAGGGTTAGTCTTAGTTTATTGATGTAATAACAAATCTTGTGACACCTTAAAAAACTAACAAATATATTAGTCTGGTAGTATTTCCCCTACCATTGTCCACAAAAGTTTATGCCAAAATAAAATTCTTTGTCCTTAAACTGACGAGACTCTTGTTCGTTTTACCTTGAACTAAGCTTTCTAAGAAGCATGCTTCAAAGTCTCTTTACTCCATCATATGGGTGCTAATGGTGCATCAGCCACTCTCCTTGTGTAAAACTTATGCCTACATGATTAATTACAACTTTGCATGTACATATCAAGCAAGGATAGGAAGGCCTGGAGAAGTGTTGTCGTGATGGGTCAGACACGACTTCTCAACTAACAACAAGCAAGAAATGGCTCCCAAAATTGCATGCTCCACGCCTGTATAAGCAATGCATCTGGAAGCCTTTACATGTAGCCACATAAGTATTTCTAACAACTACTCCTGCGGTAGCATGCAGGCTACTAATGATCCAAAATAAAGTCAGTTTTACTTTAATCTAAAACTTTTAGTATTTATATCCATGTAACAACTATATTCAGCCCTCTTTTCCCCTCAATTCAAGTTGAACAATTGATTGACACAATCATTGCACTTTTTAAACATTTGACATACTGACATCAAATATTTAGAAAGAGCAGTTATTGTGCCAATCAAAAGTTTAACTAGAATGGAGTGGAATATAGAGGGCTGGATGTAATTGTTTCCAAGTGTTCTGTACTATTTTCTTAAAAAAAAAAAAAAAAAACCTGAGGTCTATATACACAACCAAGCTGGAGTAAAGAGTTGGATGTACAACAGTTACTTGTATGTGTGACTCAAAGGCTGCAGTCCTGCAAAGAGGATGGAAACTCCCTCAAGGCCTGTCAGCCTCCCTGCTGATTGTGTAAGCATCTCCACCCCTGGGGTGGATGGCCAGTAGAACTATAGCTGTCAGCTCAGAGCAGGACTCATGAAAGACTGAAGCCAGCAGTCCTGACAAGCAGATCTGGACTCTTTCTGCAAGGATAGGACTGCTGGCTATGGGATTTAGACTCCAATGTTATTGCAGTAGAATCAGATAAGATACCCAGAGCACAGCCTGGTCCAGGGTTTCTGTTTTATCTTGCTTCATTTTATCTCATCTTGTCTTGTCTCATATTGTTTTGTTTTCAGATGAGTTCCAGCTTCTGAAGCATTGAACATGTTGACAATAAACTCAGAAAGGTTTGTGCAGCCACGTCCATACTGGATCCTTGCCTTCTTGGCTAGTAAAACCTAGTAGGGAGGAAACTGCTAGCTGAGCCAGGAGGTCATTAATGCCTATTTATGAGTGTTTTTATACCACCTGAGACAGATAGTGGTGAGGCTCCTCCTAAGAAAGATCTTAATAATTTTAGGCCAATGTCAAATATCCCCTAACCAACTCCAGGCACTCTCGGATGAAACTCATTGTATAGAACCATTTCATTTGGATTTCACGCCTGATTGTGTCCTGGAAACAGCTTTGGTTGCCCTCTATGATGAACATCACCAGGAGAAAGACAGGGGTAGTATGATGTTCTTGTTACTCCTAGATCTCTCAGCTTTTGATGCCACTGACAATGGTGTCCTTCTGGGGAAGCTGGCTGAGTTAGAGTAGAAGTATTGCATTGCAGTGGTTCTGCTCCTACTTGGACAGCTGTCTCCAGAAGGTGATGTTTGAGGAATATTGCTCTTCCCCTTGCACTCTCTATAAGGAGATTCCTCAGGGGTCATTCTTCTCCCCCATGCTAATGATAATCTACATGCAAACACTGTGTGGGATCATTTCAGATTGTGTATTTTCCAAAAATAAAAATAAAGAAATAAAGGTCCAGTGCTAATAAAACAGACTTGTTTATGCTATGCACACTAGCTGATCCACAAGTTGATGCTATGCTCCCCATGAAGATTAGGTCTGCAGCTTACCTACAAGAATCTGCTGGCTGGTGCTCAGGTGGCATATGTAACTGAATGTGTCCTTTATTTTAGTCATATGTATCACATCCATTGCACACAACTCTGGGCAATGGTTGAACAGAATCATGATCGGGCAATGGAATTTATCATTGATTTTGATGCTTTTCACTTGTTTTTTTATCATTTTTTTAAACCAAGTTTATAAATGCAATGTATACATTTTTAAACTGTTTTGACACTGTAAACTGCTCTGAGAGAGTTTGGCTATGCAACAAGGTACAAGTATTTTATGTATTTCATTTAATTATTTAATTTTTCAGAATCTTTAACTAAATGAGATTTTAATTGAAAAAAGCAGGGGAGAGAATAATGATTCATGGAAAGTGGCTTGTTTTGTGTTGAAAGAGAAACTGCTTTGGCATAAAGCAGTTCTAAACAAAAAAAAACCTGTTAAATTGTTCAACGAATACTAATACCCTTTCCCCTTGAATTTAAATCTACATTTGTAGTGCTATTATTTGAAGCCAGAATCTGAACTGAAAAAATAGCAGAACAAGACCTTTCTACTTGTCCCTTCGCCTTGGTAAAAACAGAAGGTATTAATCATTCTGTTTTAAATGCAGTTGACTAAAGCTATTCTTTAAATCAGGCATTGTCACTAATGTTGCCGATGAATAACTCTCAACACTTTTGTTTGTTGTTTCTCTGAGTGGACTGTCAACAGCACATTTCCCCCCTTCCCTTGAATGGCTTAAAGAAGATCATGAAAAGGAGTGCTATCTGTAAAAACAAAAGTTTGGAGAAGAAAAGTGGGAACAGGGTAGACACATTAAAGACAACTTGTGATTCATGGCTCATACTGTGCAATTTCTCTCTTCAGCTCAATATGCTCTTTGGTTTTACTGCTGGATAAGAGAATGCCAGGCCATTGCCCCTCTCCTAGCAACCAATATCTCTTAGGGGAAAAAGTATGTTGTCTTCTAAAAGGGGAACAGAAGAATTTAAGGTCATACAAATCAAGACACATGTTCTTTTGAATTTGATCCTAAAAACTGATTGATTTGTTAAAACAGTTTGAGTAAACAGCAAAGAATTTTAGTTAATGAGAAGATAAACTATAATTTTAAACAAATATCTGGGTCAACATAGTCTTTTTCTTTTTCCTTGAAGTTAGTACTCTGATGATTTCTACTGTTGCGATCAAGGCTTTTGTTGTAAAATATTATTGGTGATGTACACACAAATATGGGATATTTTCAAAGACACCATTTCCAAGCTAACTGGAGTCCACATAGATCATCGGGAATTTGAATCTAAAGCTCTTGGCTTTTTTCTTCTCTAGGATAAATTTTTAAAAAACTAACTGTCAGATCTTAGGGAAAAAAGTATGTACCTGTCACACTGAGGTGCTTAGGAAATAAAATAACAGAGAAAAGCATAACAATTCTATAATTAAGATACTCACATGAAGGCACATATATTTATTAAGATTATGGATGGACTAATTATGAAGATACTGCAGTTGTATTCCACAGTATTTTGTCAATATAAACAATATTGTGTCTTTCTTCACCCAGGGTGCTCTCTTCAAGCTCATGGAACCCATACTGCCCCCTGGTGATGGAGGAACTGAGGATGATGAAACAGGCTTGATGATAGCTGAAGTTTATCTGGCACAAAATTTGCTGGGAAAGTAACAAAGCACATGCTAGAAACGATAATCCAGGTTTTTGTGTGTCACTGAAATCAACAGAAAGACTTGTCCACTACCTCTTAAGTAGATATCAAGCGGAATTGTTCCATAGCTCAGTGCTTAACATTTGATCCAATGACTGGGGGACTTGAACATTCAACCAAAAGGTACGAATATTCCTGAACTCT